GGGGATGGGACACTTCGGTCTCTAGACAGACTGCGGGACAGTGAGAAGGCTCAATACACTGGCAAATTCTGCTCATGTATAAATGGGAAGAGATACCACTCCACCCCAAAGTCAGGTGGTGTGCAGAGCAGCAGGTACCCCAAGTCCAGGGTGGTCTCCAAGGCACTTTTCCTTTACAGAAATGTATTTACAGACACTGTTAAAGTGCCTGTTAGCAAATGAGAAAATGTATTACTTAATTTGGATGTTGGGTTCTCTTTAAAATGACTGGCATGTTTGCCGCTAGCACTTTCAGATTCCACTCCATAAAAGATCTTCTCTAATACATCTGAATGACTGAAACTAAAAGATCTTCTCTAATACATCTGAATGACTGAAACTAAAAGGAAACTACAATTTTTAGATGCATCTAAAATACACTTTATCTTCTATATGAAGTAAGATTTGGAAAACTTAAAGTGAATGTAAGTAGTACAAAACAAAAGCACCTAAACCATTCCTAGGGATAACATAGCTGTGCTGGTATTCACAGATCAATCCAGCTTCCTATGTTGAGGGCCGACCCTAACACCCTTCTAAAACCCACTATTGGTCAGTAAGAGAGCTCATCACAGTGATGAGCCAACAGGAAGGCTTAGTAGGAGGGAGGGCCAGACTCTGAACACAAGAAACTGGATTGAGTTGTGCACACCCAAGCACTTTTGGTTTTCGGGGGAACCTGGTGTGCTGAACTGGAGAATGGACCTGCCAAGCAGACACTATGAGGTGACTGCTACCTTGTGCCAACCCTGGATTAGAAATGTTGTGGTTGATGTACGAAAGGTAAAATAGTCTGTTCACTCTGTAAGAGGATTTGCTCTTAGCATAATTGAGGAGTTAAAGCTCTGCTGACTTCCATCATCCAAATATGTGCAAGCAAAAATACAGGTTTCTTTTATTTTCCTTGCTTGTGTATGGAAATTCTTTGTAAAGTGAATTATTACCACATTCACTAAGCTAAGGGAAATTTCCAGTGCAAAGTGAACAGCCAAATTGCCTTTAGTAAACCAAACCCTTTTTACATTATAGAGATTATTCCATTTTATGCAAAAAGTTGAGGTTACACTCTCAGACTACCGCTTGACTGTGTGATTGTTGCTTCATTAACCTTCCCTGTTGAGAAAGCCCACAAGTCAATATGGACAACCATAATAGTACTGCTGAATGCCCAAGAGGGCATACCTTCACTGATGGCCAACTCGAAGCTGAAAATAGTGTTGTATGGGCATATTACTGTTCAATCCTTTCCAGCTGCTGCCGCACTAAAAGTCCCGGCAAGACCTGCAAGCCAATGATTTGTACCACAACAGCTGAAAAACCCAGGACTGTCTTCTCCTGTTTCAAAACTGCACTTGTAGCTTTCCATCTGATGGAGGAGATGCTCCCATGGACAGTTGGCTGAACTCTAGATTTGAAGCAAGAAAGAAAATTGCTTCCCATCAAAAACAAACAAACACCACGCACACACTACATGAAATAATCAAATATTTCTTTTTGTTTTATAGGAAAGCACATTTTATGTATACATTTGACTCAACTTCATCACAAATGGCTCTTCAGTTTTGGGGTACTTTGTATTTTAGGTATAACTGTGGTTCTTTTTATACTACTTTTATGGAGTGGCTATATAGGATAAATAGCTTAAATGAAACTACACATGTGAAAAAGGAAGCAAATAACTTGAACCCTTGCTAACGCGAGGGGCCGCAATGTAATGTGTTAAAAAGCATCATGATATCTTGAACACCAAGAAACTTGTATGACCATTAAAAGACCAATCAAAATACAATGGTATTTGTGCGCTACAATATAATGGTAGGTGCAAAAAATGCTTGTGCGGCCCCACACCAGAAGGCTTTGAGAAGGCTATGCCTGGTCAAGTACCCTCTGTTTGTTTAAATTTCACAGTATATAGATAAATATTCTTCAATAAAACAAAGCGTAGCATGACTTTCAGTACATTAGTACCTTCCAGACAGGAATCAAGTATTTGGTGTAGCAGATTCTTATGTATTACATAACCTGAAAACCAAGATGGCCTTACTTTGGTCATGGGGAAACAAGTGCACATGTACAGCTGATGTACAAACAGCAGCTTATTTCAGAAAAAAAGAGAATGAAATCAATAAACCTGTACATTATCCAGGTACTTAATAACACATCAAATAATGGGATCTCTCTACATTACTTTCAAGTTCAGCCAGAGACACAGCAGAATGAGATGTGTAGGGAACATAATGTGTTGGGTACACTGTGTGTTTTACAGTATGCAGAGGAAACACAGGACGGCTTGCCATCTGTACACTGTAAAACTGAATAGCGCAGCTTTGTGTTTGTCATCCCATTAGTGTCAAGCTTTTCACAGCCTAATAGACCATACCATTTAAGATTGAAATGGCAGCTGTGAAATGCATAATGTTATCAGTTCTGACACACTCTCAATTCCATCTCATGAGTGGCCAAAGACCACACACAGTGAAGGTGGCAGGAGCACGTTCAGCAGCAGCTATCCATTTTATGATGGTTACTATGGGCCTTTCTTGTTGTCACCATCAGTATTCTTCTCTAGGTGCTCCCTGGTCCACTTTCAGTTCTTTGGTCACCCATCTTCTTCACAAACAAGAATACACACGCCAGGCAGTTATCCATTTAGCAAATAGACAACCACTTCGTAGGTTGACATCATTATCGCCGTGTTTGGAATTTGTCTAACCAGGTGCGTTGTGAGGCCACGATACAAAGAAGCATAGCCTTCTTCTCTCACCACCAGAGACAGTGTCTGGAAGAAGGACTTGTATTTTGTGCCCTCTTCACGTAGCCTTGTCCGTACAACCTCTGCAAAAAATAATAATACAAAAATGACAAACTACACAGAAATAAGGATAAATATAAACACATACCCTATGCCTTATATAAAACACATACCCTATGCCTTATATAAAACACATACCCTATGCCTTATAGAACACATACCCTATGCCTTATAGACAATGGAACAGTTTTATTTAAAAAAAATATTCAAATTATAATACTTTATCTCCATCATTTTTATTTGTTTACCTTTTAAAACACAGATTGGGTTTTTATATCTTCTAAACTAGATTTTAAAAGGCGTTAGGCATCTTGACCTGATCAATATCTTTTTGTGGGTCAGATAGAGGAAAAAACCCCCAAAAAAACCCCAAGGCAATAAGTAAAATCAAACAGGCTTCCAAGACAGCGTGGGACCTGGGAGTAACATACAGTGGGCAGGATTGGGAATAACAGACATGATATCAAATCTGTAAGGAAATACGTTTCCAAGAACAAGTTCTTAGCAATAAAGTTTTCTGAAGTGGGTTGGATTTACTACAGCTAGATACTTAGAGGTAAAACAGAAGCCCTGAGTACGTAAACTGTGTTCCCTGCACACCGCTTTAATTTTCAACTCTGATAGAAACGTACCTGGCATGCTTCTAGAGCTGCACCATCAGAAAGGCAGATGTCCATAGGGATACTACTGCACACCTTATCGGATACCCTTAATATGCAGATGGGTGCTGTAGTGATCGCAGATATCTCTGCATGTATGTAAACAGTAGTAAAGAATCACCAGCCCACCAATGGATAGTGTGGAAACACTCTTTCTTCTTTAATCACGCATAACATCACATTTCCAAGCTCTTGGAGATTTGACATTATGCGTGAATAAAGAAGGAGTGTTCACACACTATCCATTAGTGTTCTGGTGATTCTTTACTACTGTTTATATACATCAGAAAGGCAGAGACTCACATGATCCCATACCTAGAATGATCAGTTTTTTTTATTTTTGTTCCAAGTGGGCAAATAAAAAAAGGTGTGGGAGTTAAGGGAAGGTAAATAAACGAGGGAGGGGTGTTTTAAGTCAATATACAGCCAAGACTGAGGGCACTGGATGGAGTTTTAACTTGGCAGTAATATCTTGTACAGCTGTGGCTGCACTGATATCAGAGACCGATGGATGCTTAAATATTTTTTTTTGAATGGCCTGTTTTTAGCTCTCCAGCCCAGTGAAGTCTCCCACACACACATGGAGTAGAAAATAAAAAGGTCTCCAACACAGAATTATATTTCCTCAATGTTTTCTAGGCTTCATTGCGAAGTTCATGGATTGATTTTACTTATGTCCTCACTTAGGAATCATTTTTTCCTCAGTACATAAAGAGGGAAAATATTTAATATAATACAGGGCTACTGATAAAAACTGACCAAAGAGAATGATGAAAACCATAGATAAAAACTTAGAGTAATGTATTTAATAAGCAATAGGATGCTTTCATTACCTGACCATCCAAACAAAAAACAATTGTAGAATTTGAGTACGTTTGGTATTTAGAAGCACACAAAATGCTGTGAATGGCCATGACAGCAAACAGCCTCTAAGTGGCAATGTTTCAACAGACACCGCAATCTGCAGACTGTCACAAATACGAAATATATACAGACTCTACGTACCATGTGGGTATGCTATAGAGGTGGCACACGTCTTGGAAGTTGCTGCTGCCAACATTAGTCCAACAAAATCAGAAGCTTCTTTTACAGACTCCTCCTCATTATCCAGGGCTGTTGCAGTCTTATATTCCAGCAGTCTCCGTTTAATACTTTCATAAATAACAAAGTGGACAACAGTTTCAGAGATGCCAGCATAGGAGGCAGACATGCCCCTATAAAAACCTTTAACGCCATCTGTGCTATACACCTTGCGGATGCATTCCAATGCGCTCATTCGTCTTTCACCTCGGTTTCTGGAAAGGGAAGAAATATTTAAGAGTATGTTTCATTAATGATCTATTGTTACAATAACTGCCCAAAAGTGACACAACAGGACAGTAACATTACAATGAATTCAGGATTTCTCGGAAGGAACCCAGGAAGGCATTAGAAGACCTTTCAGAAAAGTTGTTGCAGTGCATGAGCAATGCCAAACAATCCTTTGCTTAACCTGTTGCCACCCGTTGCAAAAAAACGGACGGACGGCGGACTCCCATTTGCGGGTTGTAGTCTCTAGACGGCATTTTTTTCCCGCTTGTGCGCGCCCCATAGCACGTGCAGAAAAAGCCCGTTCAATGCAAAGAGCCGTTACCGGCTGTTTCACATACACACGATCGGCGGCTCTATAGCCTACCGATTGAGTGTATGTGCTGGCTGCGTGACCCCCCCCCTACTTCCGCATTCACCTGTCAGTCATCTGACTGCTATAGCCAGAGAGAAGAAGTTGATGAAGCAGATCTGTGCTTCATCAGCTTCTTTTGGGGTCCCCAGGTGACATTAGGGGTCTTGGAGATCCCTAATGTCTCCATAAAGAGGACCTGTCAGTGTGTCTTTGCTATTACATAGGGGGATTGTTATCCCCCTATGTAATAGCAATAACAATAAGTGTAAAAAAAAACATTAAAAAAAAGAGTAAAAAAATAAGTCACATAAAAAAAAGTGAAAAAAAAATTAAACGTAAATACGCGTTCGCAGAGCCAGCATGCAAAAATGACAATTGCGCTACGCATGTTACATATTGTCCTGAACGTTGGAGTGAGAGCAATCATTTTAGGGCCATCAATCACTGATAACACTAAAATGATGGGCGTTAAAAGCTTTTAAAGCGTCGCCTGTGGCCAATTTTGGGTATTGTAGTTTTTTTAGGTTTTGCGCGTGCAATTTTAAGGCTTGATGTGTTTGGTGTCTTTTTACCCGACGTGAACCCGTCTTTTATATTTTACCAAAAAACTGGGTAATAATAAATGCTTTATCACTTAATATAGGGGAAACAAGTTTAAAAAAAAAAAAATTGGTAATTTTCCCTTAATATAGTAAAAAATTAAAAAAACCCCCGTGGTGATTAAATACCAGCAAAAGAAAGCTCTATCTGTCCCCAAAAAAGGATATAAAATTCATTTCAGTACAGCGTTGCATGACGGAATAAACGTCAATTAAAGTACCGCAGCATTGAACACTGAATTGCCACCGCCCCCCCTCCTGACCCCTCACCTTCAATCCCGGGATCAGCTGCCCCATCTGCGGCCCGGGAGGGCATCAGGAAGTAAGATGGGAGGGAGGTCAGCATCTTCCTCCTTGCTGACCTCCCTCCGTGCTGTGAATGCAGAAGTGATGTGTATTACATCACTTCCGCATTCACCTGTCAGTCATCTGACTGCTATAGCCAGAGAGAAGAAGTTGATGAAGCAGATCTGTGCTTCATCAGCTTCTTTTGGGGTCCCCAGGTGACATTAGGGGTCTTGGAGATCCCTAATGTCTCCATAAAGAGGACCTGTCAGTGTGTCTTTGCTATTACATAGGGGGATTGTTATCCCCCTATGTAATAGCAATAACAATAAGTGTAAAAAAAAACATTAAAAAAAAGAGTAAAAAAATAAGTCACATAAAAAAAAGTGAAAAAAAAATTAAACGTAAATACGCGTTCGCAGAGCCAGCATGCAAAAATGACAATTGCGCTACGCATGTTACATATTGTCCTGAACGTTGGAGTGAGAGCAATCATTTTAGGGCCATCAATCACTGATAACACTAAAATGATGGGCGTTAAAAGCTTTTAAAGCGTCGCCTGTGGCCAATTTTGGGTATTGTAGTTTTTTTAGGTTTTGCGCGTGCAATTTTAAGGCTTGATGTGTTTGGTGTCTTTTTACCCGACGTGAACCCGTCTTTTATATTTTACCAAAAAACTGGGTAATAATAAATGCTTTATCACTTAATATAGGGGAAACAAGTTTAAAAAAAAAAAAATTGGTAATTTTCCCTTAATATAGTAAAAAATTAAAAAAACCCCCGTGGTGATTAAATACCAGCAAAAGAAAGCTCTATCTGTCCCCAAAAAAGGATATAAAATTCATTTCAGTACAGCGTTGCATGACGGAATAAACGTCAATTAAAGTACCGCAGCATTGAACACTGAAAAATGGCCTGGATGGGAAGGGGGTTTAACACCGCGGACTTCAAGTGGTTAATAGAGTTTTCCAACAGAAATCAGTTTAATAGCCACTTCAAAATCCCTCTTGGGGGAGTCAACACTCTTGCACCCCTCCAAAACCACTGCCTGCATTTGGCAGACAAAGTGATAGATCAAAGATTATATTATATTGATGGGGTCATCCCTGCGCTCTCTGTTGCTTAAAGTATGCTTGAGCAAATCAACAGAGCCTTGATTGCTTTAGATCCTTGGTTCTCAACTGGTGGGTCGTGACCCCATGTTCAGTGGGTTGCCACATGCCTTCCATTTTTCTAGGTGATACGCCTCAGCCTCCCCCTAACGCAGCACCGTCAGTTCTCGTGCCTAGCAGCCATTCAAAATATGCTGCCCGGCCCTGCGTGTCAGGTTGAGGTGGGGTGGGGTGGGCTGGGCTGTAAGTATGGCCACAAGGGAGCTCCATACATACGTGCATTGCTTACAGCTCCCACATGTGCCCTGTAGAGGTGCCTGGCCCGGAGTGACGTCACATTCTGGCTCCCGGCACCTCTAGAGGGCGTGTAAGGGAGCTGTACAAACAATGCACGTATGGATGGAGCTCCGCCACAGTACAGTAGCCCACACTGGACCCCAGGCTGAGGATCCACTCCAGTTCTCGTAAGGTAGGGAGACTGGGTGGATCTTAGAAAAAAATAATATTTTTGGAGTGTGTATATGTCTGTGAATGTCTGCGAGATTGTCTGTGGTTGTGTATGTATGTCAGTGCCGTTCATTAGTACAGTGTGTTAATCACACAGTCCCATGAGATTAATGCACAGTACCACCCAATCGCACCTACTGCGTGTTCTGGTGTGGAAGGTGCGTTGTGTTATTATTTTGAAGGACACCCCAAATGCACCTCCCACCCACAGTCCAATTGCCTGAGCCCGAACGCCCGGTGCTGCAATGCCGTGCGTTCCATCGCAGTGCAACTTGGGTCACGACTTAATGACCAAGGAGAACTGTGGGTCCTAAGGTTACACAAGTTGAGAACCACTGCTTTAGATTATAGTAGGATGCCTCTGCAGTAGTTCCTCCTGGACTGTAAAAGCTGCCTGGCACTGTGGAGGCAGGGGACACTGGACACTGGATAGGTGCTGCATCTGAGGATGTTTAAAATCAGGCCCGGTGCAGACCTCCGCTATCCGGGATCGTGCGTCCCGGGAATCGCAGGGTCAAATGCAGGCAGCGATTGCCGCGTGGCCCCATTGATTTAAATGGGGTGACACCCCAGCAATCGCAGATAAAAGGTACATGTACCTTTTTTTTTGCGATACACGACGCATGGATATTTAAATGTTCAGAAGCACGGGTGGAATCGCGGCGGGAAACAGTGTGATCCGCGCGGCGCAACTGGGGTGCCATTAGAAAATAATGGCACCCACAGCGTGTCGCCTAGGTGTGCACCGGTCCTCAAACTACACCGTCGCTGCCAAATAAGCAGCAATTTATAATAAAAATGTTGGAGCTTCTGTTAAAAAAACAAAAAAGAGTCTACAGAAAAAAAGCAGACGGCAAAAGGTTCCCTCATCATTGTGGAGAATGTAAAATGACGCATCCATAACCAATATTTAGGAACAGTCTAGGCAAGAGAAAAACCATTCTACTATGCAGAACCTCAAAGTACTTGCTTACAACCCCCTGCTGTTTGGAGGCCTTTGTTTTTAACGGAAACAGATTTGCAGCCCAATAAACAATCTTACCTTGCATCTAACTGTAGTCGTGTTTTAATCAGCCAGATGGGATTAGTGGCGGTTATTGCAGTGAAACCTAAATAAATCAAATGACAAAGACTTATTATATAGCACAAAAACAAGGTCATGTACTAAGAGGAGAATGTATGTCATGCACTAGACTGTATGATAATATTGCAGTTTGTTTAGAAAATATATGGTACATGTGAGGGTCACAATGTAGTAGGAATTCATGACTGCTAATACAAAATATTAATAAATCCCACCCCTATGTTAGGACACGTGCTAAATAATTTTAGGGTAAATGTATTATCTACTGAATTAACACAACTTATAAATGTTAGTTAAATAATGTTCACTTCAGAAGTTAGTGCTCTACATGGCCCCAGGCATAAATATAATATGCTGCTTCAGCTTTTGACATTTCAATTCTATTTAAAGTACTAAAACAAAAATACTGTTAATGCTAAATGATCTGATGACATATAAGAGACATTTATATTAAAAGAAAAATCTAATCTAGATGCATTCATTTCTAATGAAAAATATATTAAACATAGATCAAGAATCTAAAGAGGTCTATGGAACATAAAGTTGGTCCTACATATGTTTTTTTACACAGCACTCATGCTTTGGCTGTCCAATATAGTATTAAGAAGAAGTACAACAGCATATAATCAATGAAACATAGAATGGTTTGTATGTGGTTACTTTCTGAAATGGGGCTGGAAAATGCAGGATGCCCAGTAGTTTAAAGAATAAGGTGTTTTACATGCAGTGTTTGGAGGGATGGAGAAAGATCAGACATCCTGACAAAGCACTTGATAGACTTCTATCTTTCAAACTCTATAAATACATGCATACATACATACATACTCACTCACTCTTGTACAGGCTTACATGTAAATGTGTTGCAAACCAGATGATTCTGCCCAGTTAGATGTTCTTGCAAGCTCATGGACGTGTAGCGCACATCACCTTCTGTGATGTGACTACTAGGCATTTAGTGATGGCCAGGGCTGTAGACAGCCTGGCTGGATTTGTAGTAGCAATTACATGGTTAATCCCAGGTGTCTAACATTGCCTGTACCCCCCTGGGCGGAGTGAGACTCTGTCATATTGTGGGACAGCCAATGGTGGATACTGTAATATATGTACAGTACAGCAGCCAATCACTGGGCCTCTCTCAGCCAGTGGTGTCTGCTGGGGTAGGGTAGGTATATTGGTGGGAGCTGCCATGTTCTCTCTCTCCCTCCCGGGACTAGCCATGGATTAGGACTGGGTTCTGTTCAGCCTGCCCCCCAGGCTAAGCCAAGGCCTGGGGATGGGCTTTGACTGATGTAAGGGAAAAGGTTTCCCTGAGGCTTCCAACATGGAGGAGGCCTGAGAGATGGAAAGAGGAAAAGAACCAGGACCAGAGAAGGCTCTTGAAGCACCCTGGAACCATGTGGGCTTAAGAGCATGGTCAGTGTACTTCCTGGATTGAGGATCTGCATTCATCTGGACTGTCTGGTACATCAGTGGTTATCTGATGTGGTCGGGTGGATCTGCATTGCTACTTTTACAAGGTCCGGTGAGTCTGGAGCTTCTGATGGTTACCCCTAGACACCTAGAAACCCTATACCCTCTCTCCCAAAGATGTTCAATAAACTGTTTACTTAGCATTCTATTACTGAAGTGGACATCAATTTATGGACATAAGAGGAGAGCGGTTAGTGCTAATGGGGCGCAGCTGGAGATCAACCCCTAGAGCGACTATAGATGTTGACCGGGCAAACAACGGCTCCGGGGAGTTATCGCTACAGACGTTTTTATAACAGTTATGAAAGTGGACCTAACCAATCTTCAATTTCTTTGTTTATGTTATAGAAAACATCTAGAACTGTTACTTGTCCCAAGTAGTACCCTAGAAAAATTTACTTTTCATCTTGAATTCCTAGTGAAAAATAGCAGTGCACTTCCTGATGTGAGGGTGCCAAGTCTCTCCCGTGCCTAAAACCTCATGCATTGCTTTTGAGGTGGTTGGCCAACATTTGCACGGTAAGAAGGAACAATAAAGCATACCCACTGTGTAGCAATGAAAAGAAGGTAGCAAAACCTAAGTATATAATAAGCAAATAGGACTGCCCCCATTTACATATATCATTACAAACTAAATTGTGTAAAATCAACGGGTATATGTAAACACCATTTAAAAGGACAATACAATACATTGCCTTTATACCACAACACAGTGCAAAACACATGGGGCCTCAATCAAGACTGAAGAAGGGTCTCTAAGGAGTCTGATGCCTAATGTCAACCAATCAGATTCTTCGGGGAGTGAATAGATTGACTGTGGGGAACACAGACTGAGACAACTAATCCTTCAGGAGCTACCATAACTAAGGCCCATGGTGTGCAAAATCAGCTTTCATTAGTCTAACTTCACTATGCTTGCTTTTCCAGTGAAAACATTAAAACATACGGTAATACTTTTTTGTAAGGGTAAGCTATTTCGAAGGACAGATCAATAGTATTAAATAGTCTGGCAGGAATATTTATTCTTTTAGCCTAACAAGGTATAAAAGGGAAAAACACCTTCAAGAAAAAGCACTGTAGGAGAACTGCTCAATTTAGGTATCTGAATAGATACGTTTAGGAGACTCGAGCAAAACTCATTGGGGGGAATTTATCAAAACTGAAGCAGACAGAATCTGGAGCAGTTGCCCAGGGTAACCAATCAGCTTCTCTCTTTAGTTTGCTCACTTAAGATTTGAAAATGAAAGAGAAAAGCTGATTGGTTGCCGTGCAGAGCTGCTCCAGTTTTGATAAATTCCCTTCATTATGTTTGCTTTGCAGTGTTGTCTGATCTCATTCAAGACTTGAAAGTTGCACAATGACTTTGTTCTGTAGTGCTATGCAGAGATAGTATGTTTGTGGACTTGGCTTGGGTTCCAGCAGGCCGGTGCCCAGAGCACACAAACCTTATCTTGATAACATCCCAAGTTGGCAAACTAACTGACAGCGACAATGTGCCTGACCTACCTAGAGGAAACCTGTCAGCCAGATACAGATTACATGGCAAATATTTTATGAATATACACTGTATTCCTTGTCATAAGAATGGAATGGATAGCAATAAGATGCTAGAAAGGACCTGTTGCACAAATTAAGAACCATACAAGTACTTGAAGCATACAATATATTGAACCTTATCATCATTTTAAAAAAATCTAAAGGAACTCAATTAAAATTGTAAAATGAGCCATTTACAAAGGGTGATACTTTAAAAAGGAAAACAATTACTTTAAAACAGCTGAAGTGGGTAGATTCAATATAAGAAGTGCACCATCTTACGTACAGTGGCAGCTTCCATATTCCCATCTCCAAATATTCTTGTTAGGCAGCTAGAATGTTTGTCAGAACAATGGGATTGCTCCCTCTTTTACATTACAATTGATTTTGTTTTTAAAATGAAAGAAACCTAGTCACCCACATATTTACTGCACACAGAGGGTCAAAAGTCATCTGTGGTCTGACAATTGTTGTGTGTGACCGGAAGGTTGACAAGGCAGTAGTAATCAAATACTGGGTGATCATTGGTTCCAGCTGAAGTGTCAGTCAGACAGAGTAAAGGTGCCCATACACCTTACGACCATCGCAAGACTTTTGTCTTGCGATGGTCGTATGCTTCTTGAAAGCCCGTACGATCTGCCCACCTTGGACGTGCAGATCGTACTTGCGATCATCGAAAGCCCGCCCCGCTGAGGGGCGGCTTCCGATGACAGCAATGCAGAACGGGCAGTGTGCGCGTGCGCACACCGGCCCGTTCCGCAGCTATCGGGCGAGCAGGCTAGAAACCCGCCGAGAATCGTACGATTCTCGGCGGGTTTTCGAACATGTTGGCTCGACAAAAGACATGCGACCGTACAGTAGAAACGGTCGCACGTCTTAGTTCACACTGCTCGATTCTCGTACGATCGCGGGATTTCGCCCGATTCTCGTACGAGAATCGAGCAGTGTATGGGCACCTTAAGTGAAGCAACATGGAGGGGCAGATATAAATCCTCCATAAGACTACAGCGTTATGCTAACTTAAGCCTGATTATGAATATTCTTGCACAAGTCCGGCCAGGATGGGTTTCCTTTGAACCAGCCAAAACCTAATTTGGAAAATACTTTACACATCTTCACACGGGCACAAAACATGAGGCTTGAGAAATGAGTGAAAAAATAATGAATGAAAAGAAGTCTGGTCAGGTGAATTCATAAAATGTGAAAGGAAAGTGAAGCCAGATGACGCTCTCATGAATGCAGCCAGTGATGACGTACAGCCTAGTAACATGCTACGTATAGATGAAGATGTGTGCACACATTCACGCACACATACACGACACAACTCAAAGTCCACATGTCTGCAGAGGGTTTGTAGAAAATAAATAAATCTGCATCTCCTAAACACAGCAGAGTACAGCACACCACTCCCGGTTTGTTCCCCATAAAAAGGTAATTACAATTCCAATGTGCGGTTCTTACGCTTTTGGCTGCAGAGAGAAGCCGGGTCAAGTACTCACGAGGTTTAACTTAGTCCATATTTCAGCAGGACGAGACCTGCAGGAGGCGAGCATGAGATGACACAATCTCGCGCCTTTCACAGTGGAAATGTACAGTAAACGCCTAAAATAGACACAGGCTTTTCTGTATCGCAACAACAAGCAGTGGTCCACAACATTGCGTACCAATGAAACCCACGGAAAGGATTTCACAAAATAAAATGTAATACTTACAGAAGAAAAACAAATTACTGCACATTGCTAAAAATAACAAAATAGATTTAAAAATACAAAGAAATGTATACTCAGAATAAGTGGGATTACAGAAATATCATACTTTAAAAAAAAAAAAAATACAAGCAAGCATATGAACAAATAAAGTGCTCAAGAAAAGAGGTAAAACTTAAATCTTATAGCATTCTATGTGAATACTTTGTACTTTAATGAAACATGCTAAAACACATTTGTGAAAACTTTAAAAAAAAAACAAAAACACTACACAATAATTGATGGTACTTACCAAATGTAAAATCTAAGTTCTAATCTACTGAAGTGCTTTTATAATGTAGATATGGCCACTAAAACACAAACTATATCAATCCTCGTATAATACTGTAAGATACACAATATTTCCACAATAATAACGTTTTACAGCTGCTACTGACCACTCCATGCATTAACCCTCCTCCCACTATTCCCATTTACTGGCAACACAGCAGCCGAACCATTATTCAGATGCTGCCACGATTTGTTTGCAAGACTGAAGTCTTACAGAATGATGTAATACAGCTCACAGAGCTCCATCCAAACCAAATTCTTGAGATGGAATATTACATTTCACTAGGGATGCACCGATACCGTTTTTTCGGTATCAAGTATGAGTACCGGTGGTTTTTTTGTTGGTACTCGCCTATTTGGAAATTCTCATTAGAGAAGCCGCTGTCCTATCAAAGTTTGTGACGGCGTTAGAATGTGTGACCGGTGACGCTCAGTTTTTCGGTGGTGGAAAAAATGACCGGCAAAAGGTGAAGAATTCCAACGCTTTTTCGGCTGTTCATGGGCAGATCGGCATCGCAGATGGTATGTGCAGGAAACCCGATCTGCCCTGGAACAGATGATCGGTCCGGAAATGTCACTTCTATCTCACATTGTGGAATGTGAGATCGCAGTCACAAAGTCTGATAAAAGTGATATTTTAGGACCGATCAGCTGTTCCAGGGCAGATCGGTTCTCCTGCACATACGATCTGCGATGCCGATCTGCCCTGGAACAGCCGAGAAAGCGTTTGATTTTTTCACCTTTTGCCGGTCACATATTCCACCGCCGAAAAAGTGATCGTGATTCTGTTAAAATGTGTGACCACGTGACCGGTCACACATTCCAAGCCAGTCACAATCTTTGATAGAACACCGGGTGGCGTGTAATTACCCGGGAAGCTGTCTCCATGCTCCCTAGTCACCAAGTGAAAGCCAGGGGGTGGGTAATGACTCGCCTACTGGCTTCCTGATACGGAAGGCATGGGGAGCATTTGGAAAAGTAAGAGTGCTCGCCCAAATATTCGGTATCGGTGCATCCCTACATTTCACTTAAAGGTTTCCTATCCCAGCAAAATGAAGACAATTCCTTTGGAGAGCTGCTCAGTTTTAGTACACAGATAGGTAAGAAGCAGTTGTAAAACTGTCCATTAACTCACTATGACAATCCTGAACTACCAGTCTACACGGTTTGGCTTCTTATGACCAGCTTGGAAAAATATCTGGGAAACATTAGGAGGCATGAACTTTCACAGTATATCCTCTGCTTCTACAGTTCTACATATTGCACACTTATATCTAACATTGTAAGAACCGGATAATCGTAAAAGGGACAAGAAACATAAAAACTGTTTAGAATCAATCAATACTTAATTAAAAACTCAAAAGCATGCAAAATCCTCAATGAGCTAATGATGTCAGCATCAACTCATTGTGGAAGTCCGTAAGAAACACTGATCACACAGCGCATTTTTAAGGCATTCTCTTTTTGCAGCTCTTGTGTGGCTCTACCCTAAATGGACACACATGTAACAGTTATCTCTATTAAAGAATTGTATCTTTCCAATAAACAATTCATATTCATTGAAAATAGGAAAGATGGGAGCTGGTAAAAATCTATCTATCTGAATTGAAGACTGAAGAGCTTGAACTTTTGATCGATCATTAAGCTTATGCCCCACATTATGCTGTATGGCACACACAGGCACATTAGTCATTAGTAAATTGCCAGGTTAGTCCAGGCTGATGAAGCAAACCAGTTGCGGTCTAGATTTTGGGAAAGTTTGAGAGGGAAGTAGTTTTTACTGTATACTTTACTTATCTAACATATTTATTCTATTTGTGCGTCAATTTGGCCAACAAGTTTTTTTAAACTGTAAAAATATAAAAAGGTTTATAAACTGATCTTACACAAAACACCATGAAGTCCTACACTGATAACATATATAAACACTGCACTGCACACATAGAAATAGTAAAAAGCCAGAGCAGAGAAAAGAAAAAAGGATTCTGGATAGAAAAACCTTTTCATTTAATAAAAGATAAGAATATCAAGAAAGGATGGCTTCTATGGGAAAGTTAGCTTATGGTGTGCAGCTCCCCTTGACATTCAAGAAAAGATTCAAGAAGCTTGGGGGGAGAGGGG